TGGGGGGGGGGGGGGGTTGCCTGGATCCACATCCTGGTGAGCAAAGAGGGCAGGGGTAACTCATTTTTCTGTGATTAAAAAAACCCAAAATCAAACGCCAACATTTATAGGTATTTATAATTTATTTTATTACAGCGGTTGAGGCACTAGTAGGCTTCCAAGTTACTTTAAAATTGTAAATATATCAATAAAATATTGTGATCAACTGATACTTGTATATATAATGGCGTTTCATTTTAATCACAGAAAAATGCAAACTTTGGGGATTTGAATGGGAGAATTTGCCATTTTTATCAGAGAATCTGTGATTTTTTTAAATGGAGAAAACCAGTATCCCTGCTTATAACTGGAAGTAGATGGGATCGTTTTTGTGCACAGCCTTTGTGAATGGCTTCAGAAAATTATTATTATGGATCAGAAAATAGATTGGGGAGAGGGTTATTGAGCCAGTTACAGAGAGCTTCAGTAACTTCCTGTTTGAATGCCAGTGTTTTCATGCTTCGGGGATATATTTAGTAGTCGTATTGGTCTGAGACAAAAAGAAATGGAGAACTTCAGAACTCTTGTTTTCAGAGATGATACCTTTTATTAAACCAACTAAGACATTTAAAAAAAATATATCTTTTTCTGCAAGCTTTCTGGCGCACACCTTTCTTTCCTCAGGCTCAGAGAAAATTAAAGATGGTATAAAATCCGCATAGGTAGGATTAAACTTCATTTTTGCACAGAGGAAGTGGAAGTCTGTCCCTCTGGGTCCATGAGAGTATCTTTGAGTTGCTCATTGATGTGCAGATCAGGCAGGAGTCCCTGCCTGGTGGTGTCAGGTGGCAGAAAGGTAGGGAGGTAAATCAGGTGGCAGAAAGGTAGGGAGAAATCTTTCTTGTTGTCCATAGTTGGTCTCCCCTTAAAAAATAAGGTTAAACAGGTTAATAAAGTTAAACAGGGAAATACAAAATATTTTTGGAAGCGGTCGTTTAATATAAAGTCATTCCTTGCCTATAGCATTTACACCAGTGGTTCTCAATCTTTTTGGACTCGAGGCACTCCTCACTGAACTCAAGATGCTCTTCCATAACTTCTGTGAATTGAATGGCACAAAGTTTCTAAAGCTATATCCTTGTAGAGGGGCCAGGCACTGGGTGTGGGGAAATCACCCAGCACAGACAAGCCAAAGGCTACACTTATCTCCTTGCACCTCAGGTCACCCTTCAGAGGATCTAGTGCCACCCCAGAACATTTGCAGATAACATAGCGCTTTTCACCAAATAGCCATTTGTGGCTGGTCACTGTTATGGCTGTTTTTGGGTCTTGTCAGACTGAAAAACTTGCCCTCTGTTACTGTACAAAGGTTTTTCTCAATATTTGCCTGGTAATGAAATGAGGAATCATTCATTCATCTGTCTTTCCTTAGATATTGGAAGGTATTTACACTGAAGTTTGTATAGTAGAAGTCCCATCTTAAAATTTTATTCGTTTGATTATTGCAAAAAGTAGCTTTTGTCTCCTTTTCTCCCTCCTCTCAGTCAGGACAATCATCCACTGTGATTGAAAACATTCATACTATTATTGCTGCAGCTGCTGTGAAGTTCAGCTCTGATCAACTTAATCATCTGTTTGTTCTTATTCAGAATGTAAGTTTTCATCTGAATTTAAATTTCTTATTAAAACAGGGATTCGATATGTTTGAGTCTCCCGTCTACAAATACCATTTTTGAATAGCAGTTTCTATCAAAACATTGAATCTGACCTTAAGATGAAAATATGTACTTAAAATTGCTGTCCGTTCCTATTATATTGTCAATTAACTTGCTTAAGTCTCAAATAGTTAAAACCTTTCTCTGTCCGTGCTAAAAGTACTTTCAAGAAAAGATTTCATTATCGCATCTGCTTGTACTGTGTTTTTAACGCGTTTAGTGAATGAGTTATGTAATTCCCAATAACGAAAATGGGAGTTGGCACATTTAAAACGCGTGCCTTTCAATATTTTGGTGATGACACTGTTAAAGAGCAGATGAAAGCAATTAAGAGCTTTGGAACTTTGCATGTTGGTTACATATTTGCTGCTGTCATAAAAATAATATTTCTTTGCCCTGCAGAGTTGGGAGATTGAGAGCGATAGAGTGCGACAGAAACTACTGAGCCTTATAGGACGCATTGGTCGGGAAGCGCGCATTGAGACAACCACCGGAAAGGCATGAGAAATACCTTCTTCCATTGCTAGATAAAGGATACGGTTGGATATCCTTGTAATTGCTGGTCACAGCCTAACCTTGTATATTGTCTTTGTAGGTCTTGGAGGTGCTTTGGGAACTGGCCCATCTTCCAACATTACCCTGTAATCTAATTCAGCAGGCCTTGGAGGAACATCTGACAATCCTTAGTGATGCTTATGCAGTGAAAGAGGCAATCAAAAGAAGCTACATCATCAAGTGCATTGAAGATATTAAAAGGGTTGGTCTGTCCTTAGGATTATCTTTTTCCCCAAAGTGGCATGTTCTATAAAGTCTTAATATTGCCCTATCCCCTCTTCTATCAAATGGCACAATTTGACCCTTGTCCCATCTGTAAGTTCTTACCTTGGGGAGTCCACAAGAGGGGTACACTTTGTTTGATCCAGTTTTATTATGAGACTCATAGTAAGTCTCTTGCCTTTGTTTTAAACAAATTTCTAGCCGAAGGAGTGATCAGTTTTTGGGAAAACTGCAAGGATGGACTCAAGGTTAGAATTTGCAGATGGAACTGCTATTAAGGTATGTCAGTATTTTAGTATGTTCCTTAAATGTAAACTATCCTCTTTTTTTGTTTGTTTGAAAGTGAAGTATGTTTTCTAGTGTATCTGTCAGACAAATATCAAAACACATATTGGCTTTTAAATTTCAGTAATGGTCTGGGCTTAAGGAAACACTTTCTATGCCTAACAAAAACCATCCATTCTTGCAGCTGAATGTGCCAAGATGTTTCCTGGGCAGCACAAAAGTATGCTTCTAAAGAGTGAGAAAGGAGGGTTTTGCCCATGTGAACTCATGGCATGTGGTCTTAAACTGTTCCTCCACACTTAACCATGCTATCTTTGTATCACATGGTCTTTCTTTCAGCCTGCAAGAATGCTTCTGTCTTCTTGGTTTGTCTAAAATGTGCCATTGTAAAGGGAAATGGCTTTTCATTAGTTTGGGCCCTTTTTTCCCCGTATGCTGAACTACAGCAATTTGGAACTGCCTTTTCTCTTTTCCCAAAGCAGCCCAAGAAGATTTTTAGCACCACCATTATTCCTAGGTGCCAAGATAGCTGACTTCCTTGCTAGCAAGAGATTTTTTTCCCTAGCACTGAGTGCAAATCTCAGGCTCTGTCCTGGAGAATATTTGTTGAAATCCTTCCTTTCCTGTTCTCACTAGCAATTTCTCTTAAATGTATCCTTAAACCATATTACAGCTTTCTGCAGTATCTGAATCCAGGCCTCTGCTAGCGTGGATCATAAACACATGTGCAATTACTCATGAGAGTGAGAGGAAATTTAATAATATCTGAATAATTACAAAATAAGCCTAGCAGTACTTCCAAAGGTGTGAAGTCAGGGTAGCTTTGTCCATCGGTTTGGAATTCTAAATGGCGATGTGGCATTGGTAGTTAGTATCTAAACCAGAAACAAGATACTACCTTCACAGACAAAAGCTTAGTGAGCTAACTTCTGTGGTCAAACTTAATGGAAAGGGGAGGTTCCTGAAGGCCTCACCCAGCAGAGCTCTGAGCAGTTTTTCAACATGAGGATTTTTAGCTTGTGGTTTGATCTTATGTAGCAGTATTTTTCAAAAATAAATGTGGTGTTTCATCTATAGACCCATTGCAGCTCTACAACATCACATTGAGACAGCCACTGATTACCTCCCTACTGCTGCTTAATCCTAAATCAGCGGGCTGAATCATTTAAATTATTTCTTCCCTGATTCCTCTTCCTGCTTCTTAAACTTGATCTTTCACTCGGTAGCTGTTCCTGGCTACTGTTGCCATCTGTGCCCTGGTTGCCTGTCCTGTTGTCTTTCCCTCCTGACTACAGAGAGCTTGTTTTTTCATCCTGCTTTCTCATCTCTCTCTAATTTTGTTAATTCCTTGGCTACACAACCTCTTATTGGTGAGGGGAGACCACAGGCTAAAGAACAGGAGTGGCTAACTAGTCCCTGTGTGTTTGGAAAACTAAAAGATACTCTCATTACATATGAAGAAGAATTAGGAAGAAGTGACAGCGCACACTTTTATGAAAGAAAATAGCTGTTATCTGCAGTGGTGGGAGTATCTGAGAATAAACAGGCTTCCACATGCTTTTACAGTAAATAAGTCAGTTGTTCATCATGTGCACTTGTGTAATTGTTCGACTTCTCTCATTACTAGTCATCCCAACACAACAATCCCCAGTTTGTGTGGGTGGTGCCAGCTTTACGTCAGCTCCATGAAATCACACGCTCGTTTATCAAGCAAACATACCAAAAGCAAGACAAGGTAAGAGCATGTGCTGAAATATCTTTGAAGGCACAGCATACCCATCAGACTTCTGCCTTTGTACCAACAGAATACATATTACTTACTTATGTTCTGCTTGATTTTAGTGTCTAATAAAGTGGTGATGACTTCATAGCATGTTTTTAATATTGTAATTCCCTAGTGGTCCGAGCTGTTCATTTATGTGCAAGTCATCTCTTTTATAGGAGAACTGGTCCTTTTATCTTAGTTTTCCGTGCCATTGCCATGCAGACCTGATTGGAGAGCTTAAGATGGCTCTCATTTAGACTAGATCAAACAGGATGATCTTGTAAATTGCCTTTTGAGCCAATAAAATCAAATTTGATTCTTGGAGAGTAAAATTAAAACGGCACCCCAGTCTGCCAGCATGTCACATTTTGTGTTATACCAGTTTTGCGTTGAGGTGTTGGCTTTTCCTCAATTTCAGAGCAGTGCTTCATTGCCAAATGCTAAAAGATAGCAGCCTTCAAGGAAGGCTTTAAGATGGGGTTGGCAGGGGTACGGGTGAGGAGTTTTGCAGGGCTGCGGTGCTTGCTGAAAAATGCCACCGTTCTCAGGCAAAAGTCCTTCGTACTTCTACAGAAGTGCAGAACTGCCTAGTGCTGAGTGTTTTACAAATATTTTTTCCTTACTGTTTTTTTGTGAAGAGCATCATTCAAGATTTGAAGAAAAATTTTGAGATAGTGAAGCTGGTGACAGGAAGCCTAATATCGTGTCATCGATTGGCTGCATCTGTAGCAGGTCCTGGAGGACTTGTTGGAACAACATTAGTGGATGGCCGATACACCTACCGGGAGGTACTAGACAGCATACTGTGTGTGTTTTAAACAGCAAAAAGTATGAGAATGTGTGTTCAACACTTGGATGATGCTATATATGCTTGTGTATGCTATGCTTCCTCCTTCCAAAAATCCATTTTATCAGTTGTAATATAAATAAATTGAGCTTGATTCATTATTTAACTGTTAAATGTTGGTGCAGTTCTGTGTTAATAGACTGGTAGTTTGAATTGGTTGCATCCACTTCAGACCAGAAAAACATTTGCATATTAGTATGTGGGTTCAGTAGAAGCAGAGAACTTGCCAACCTGGTGTTCTTATGCTTTTGGTTACTTTGCTCATTTTTATTCTGAAAAGATGCCCCAAATTATATCTTTAGCTTAAAATAGAAATAATAGCAGGCCCTGCAGCAATCTCTGGGCAGGCCTGTTTACATGGATTTGATTGCAGATGCAGTTTCTACTTCTCCAGACAATCATACGTTAACAACTGAGGCCAAAACTATATTTTCAATTTAAAAGTTCTCTCTCAGAAGGACAAGACTTTATACTTGATTCTGTTTTCTCCTCTTCAGTACCTAGAGGCACATCTAAAATTTTTAGCATTTTTTCTGCAAGAAGCCACCCTCTACTTGGGTTGGAATCGTGCCAGGGAAATCTGGGAATGCCTTGTGACTGGTCAGGATGTTTGCGAGTTAGATCGTGAGGTAAGAAACTTCAAATGATTTCCCTGTGATTGAGGAATGGAGTTAACAGATCATTCGTTAGTGGCTTTCCAGTTAATTTTTTTTCTCGCTTTCTGTTTGTCTTTAAATACTTTCCAAAGTCGTGTGGAATGATACTGGTTTTATATTTTAACAATAACTAGCATGTTGCACTGAACACACATGTATTTGGTCGAAAGGGAATTTTGGTCGGCCGTCTCTATATGAGAGTTTCTCTTCATTTCTTGATTAATGTTCAACCCATGGAGTCATATACAACAAAATGTCACTTAACGTTTCCTGGAAAAGATTGCTGTAATCTCAGTGCCAGGAATCCCTAATGCTGCTTTGCTTGGGTAGTGTAGAAAGTGGAATTTGAACTTTTTGCTCCAAGATAAAGTCTAATATTCTCTGCATTTATACGGATACCTAGTATAATAATGCTATATGCAGTAGTATTCATTTCAGGTAGTTCCAGATGCATAACTTTCCTTGTCATTGTTTAAGTATTTCTTATTAGAATCACTGTAAGATTTAAATCATTATAGTACCAGCAATATCAGATGTGCTGAACTTCTGATGTTAAGTGGGGAACCCGTGCTTATGCTTTTCTACTCCATTCACAGATGTGCTTTGAGTGGTTTACAAAAGGTCAGCACGATCTGGAGAGTGACGTGCAACAGCAGCTCTTCAAAGAGAAAATTCTTAAGCTGGAGTCGTATGAAATCACAATGAATGGTACGAAAAATCTGTTTGGGCACTGGATCAGCTTTAAAATGAACCTCATTGTGTCAGTCTCTACTTGTTCTCAGTCTTGTTGTTTGTGTATAAGACGAGCATAGGACCTAAACCCAAATAAAAAGTTGCATCGTTTTTACATGCAGGTTTCAGTTTATTTAAGACGTTCTTTGAGAATGTGAATCTGTGTGATCATCGACTAAAGAGGCAGGGAACTCAATTGGTAAGTCATTTGTAAAATTTTATATCTCGAGCCTTGTTTTAACTGTATTCTGAACAAAGAAAAGTTCTACCCTTTTTTGCTCACATATAGCCAAAAAAACCCTGTTGTTTTTAGTAGTTAATTTTTTACGAATATATTGAACAAGTAAGTTACAAATATATTGAACAAGTAAGTTCAATATATTGAAATCCTTAAAATTTTTAATATTATTAACCTTGTCTGCTCTTATTTTTACTAGCAAAAGTAGCTTGCTGTACCCATCACAGACTCTTAATTTGTCATATTTGTTGACAGGTCCTCAAGTCTGACTTAAGTATTTGATCAGTACAAGCCATTTGATGAGCATGTTAGCATATGATCAGATATTTTGAATAAATTCCATTACTTAGCAGAATGGAAGTCCTAAATGTTGCTAGTTTTTCAGTCTTGATTTGGTTTGGCTGAGATGGTGGGGGAGGTCAGGCATCACTGTTTAAATGTCACGTATGCAGTGGTTTAGACTTCTTAAATGTCTTAAATGACGTAGATTTGAAGTTTATTTCATAGCATACTGACTGACGCACCAAAACAGCTTTTAATGTGTGCCAGAAATTGCTTTTTCCAACAGGCATAAAACTTCTATAATTATATACATTGTTATGATATATAACTAGCAAAAGTTGAATTTTAGCATTGTTTTCTTTTTTCTTGAACAGAGTGTAGAAAAACTGGAATTAATAGGAATGGATTTTATTTGGAAAATTGCAATGGAATCTCCTGATGAAGAAATTGCAAATGAAGCCATTCAATTGATCATAAATTATAGCTATATTAATTTAAATCCAAGACTGAAAAAGGTAGCTATTTTTTTTTTATATCATTTTTGACACATACAGAGGTTTAGTACTCTGCGTACTATAACTGGTCATTTAATTTGGCCATTTCACAGTTTTGTTTTTTTTTAAATAAAAATCTAATTTACTTGTTCTTCATCTCTTAAGGATTCAGTGTCACTACACAAGAAATTTATTGCTGATTGTTATACGAGATTAGAGGTAAGTGACAAACTGAAATCCCATTTTACCTTGATGTAATTTTACTTAAACAACTCACCATTTTATTTAGCACTTTATTTGCGTAACAAAAAGTCATTCATGATCTAAACAGTGTAACCCTATCCTTTCTCCCAGAATATTGCAAGTCTTTCATTGAAAAATACATAAAGAAGAATTTACTGGCCTTTACATTTTAAAATAAGCTGCTTGTACTTCAGTGTGTAGTGCAAACATGTACCTTAAATGAGCACTAGAATAATGAATTGTGGTAAAAATGCTAAAGTTTTTTTTTTAACGAGCGGGGATTTTCCTTTCATGAGCCACCACCCCTTAGTGATGGTACAAAAGTAACATAATGTAGTTGAAGCTTTAAAGTAACACAATAAAGGCTTCAATCTCATTTAGTTCTTGCTTTTCATTACTGTGAAACATACAGTGCAATGTATGTATAGCTCTACATTTGTCTGCTTTTATCTTCTAGGCAGCCAGTTCAGCACTTGGTGGTCCAACATTAACACATGCTGTTACGAGGGCTACAAAAATGCTTACAGCAACTGCTATGCCTACTGTAGCAACGTCAGTACAGTCTCCCTACAGGTATGTCTTCACTTAAGAGGATAACATACAACAGATGTCTGAGCTTCTTCCTACACAAGTTTAAATTTAAAGTGCAATACGTTTTAGTGTGAAGAATATATCAGCTCAGTATAGCCTCAGGTTTTGTATTCCTTATTGTCTACCCTGTAAGATTGGATTTCTTTGCAGATTCTCAGGGTGATTCAAGGTTACCAAGCAGGTCATTGCAACAAACAGAACTCCTCAGCTTTTCCCTATAGCACTTTACATCTCTTCGTCCAAGAAAGGTGGTTAAGCTGTAGTTCTTCTATTCCGAATTGAATAAAACATGTTAAATGTGCTCTGGACACATTACCAAATTGGACCCTCTAAAAGATGAGGCATAGAAGTACCCCATGTGTGAATCCCAACAGGATTAAGTAGGAGATAAATGCTTTGCTCAACCACGATGACAGCAGATATGGGCATGGACAAGTAACAGCATTCTGAGCACCTAGGGGACTTCACTGGTAAAAGCTTAGGCTCTGAAGTGGTTTTAAGGCTGTTTTCTGTATGCAGTCTTTGGCATAGGCAGCTAAAATATACTTAAGTGCTTCTGGTGATATGGGCCTTTTAAGTCTCTGCTCTTAGTATGAGAGATTGGGATTTGCTCCAATCATCCTTTAAAGCAAAGGTTTTTTTGAAGTAGCACAAATGAGTGTATATCATAAACTAACATTTGCAAGCAGTAACCCAACTTTGCCTATTCCTCTTAGCAGGATAAGCTGCTTTCATAATGCTTCTATCTAGGGGCAGGTGTGTGGCTGTTTACAATGGTAGTTTTTCAGCTACATATTTCAGTTAATATTTAATTGATTTCAGAAAAGGCTTTATTTTAAAAGCCTGTATAGGGAATTGGGTTGGAAGTGTAAGCACTGAAGTCCTCTAGGATCGTTGCTGCTTTTCATGCATTCCATCTGTGGCATAGAACAGGAGTCAGCAGCATATGGCCAGCCCATGAAACCATTGGCTCCATCCCTCAGAGCTGGAGGACTTTGGCTGTGCCTGTGCCCATGCCAGCGCTAAGGCCAGGCAGCTTCCAGCTACAAATGACTGCTGCTTCTCCCTGTTCTCTCTGCTCTGTTCTGACATGGGCCTGGTGATTTTAGTGACTGGGGGATTTGCCTATACCCATGCCAGGGCTAGGCAAGTGGGAGCTGTGCCTGAGCTGCCAATGCTTGTCCCAACCCCTGTTCCCTGGCTGTGGTGCAGGTGCTTCTTCCAACCCATGGGGAGCTGCACCGGGATCACTACAAGCTGTTTCTGTACTGCTGCCACCTCCCGAACACCACACCTGCCACCTGCAGTGTGGGTACGGCCTCCAGCCAGTCAGGAGTTTCACTGGGGCTGGGCAGCGTCCAGCTCTGCCCATGCTGTAGCTGGAGGCAGGGAGAGGGAGTGAGGAGAAGAGCAGCAGCATGGACACAGTTTGCACCTGGTCCCAGTGCACCTCCCCACTAGCTAGTATCTGTGCCCATGCTGCAGCTGGAGAGTGGGAGGCTGGAAAAAAAAATGGTGGCACATTCACAGCTGCCTAGCTGAGCATGGGGAAAGCCTCCCACTGCTGATGTGCTGCCAAAACTACTTGGCCTGCATTAGACCAGAGCCAGGTTGTTCCAGCCCACTGCTTGTAAAAGGTTGCCAGTCCCTGGCATAGAAGATGGTGGAAGGTGGCTTCTCATCCTTCAGGGATCTAATGATTTCTAAACCTGTCAATTTTAGTGTCCAGGTATAAAAATGGTCTCTCTAGGCATACTGTACAGTGTCTCAGCCATGATACATGGAGTGTGTACAATGCAAGTTTTTCACCCTGCTCTACCAAAGCATCTCGGTTTAGTAGACCTAGACTTCTTAGTCTCCACCAAATTTAGTCCTTGGTTTTGCTGAGTACTAATCTGTGATGGTGACCTTTGCCTAAGCCACTTACTCCCTGCTTTTATTTTGGACCCAACCTCTAGGTCAACTAAACTTGTAATAATTGAGAGGCTGCTACTTTTGGCGGAACGCTATGTGATAACCATAGAGGTAAGGTGCTTGAATATTTATGTCTGTCTCATAGCTTGATAAGAAACCTTTCAGTATTTTAATAGCGCTGTAAATTATTCAGATCTATGCTATAGTTCAGCAGAATCCTTGTTACAGCTCACTGTTGTAAAAATATTTTTACTTCAAGAATTGTCTGTCTCTGTAGGATCTTTACTATGTTCCTCGAACTATTCTACCTCATGGTGCCTCTTTCCATGGACATCTCTTAACGCTTAATGTTACATACGAATCTACCAAAGATACCTTCACTATAGAGGTATGGCTGTACTGGTTACCTATATCCTACCATATTGATCATTTTATTTGTGAAAGTTCAGTACTCTCTATCTGTGCCCCATCCTGAGGATGAATGAATTGCGATCTGGATAAACATTTTACGTAGTGCAGTTAGCTTGGATTTACTGGGTGTGTCTACGCATGCATATTAATGACGCGCTGGCTAGGCCACAAGGCAGCCCCTGCACTGAAACACCCTTGTGCACCAGCCAGCCACATAAGCGTCTACACATGCGGTGCTGCAGTTTATTAGTTTACTTCAGCCTAATAGCCCTGCACGTATAGACACTGAGACATTTACTTCAGAGCTAAGTGGTCTACTCTGCAGTAAACATATCATGTAGACATGCCCACTGTTTCTAAAAATGTACTTAGACCTAGAAAGAGGATGATGATGGAGAAACTTGTGTAAAGAATATTAATTTTCCAGGTTTTGTTCACTTAGCAGCATCTGATCTCATTTTCAATGTTTCCCTATATAGGCAGTCCTCCTTGTGGAAAATATTCTTATACATAGTAGGGGAGCAGGAAAAAAAATTAATAAACTTTTAATAGAACATTAGAGAAAGTCGGGCCCTGCTGTTTAATCAGCATGCACCACACTAACATTGTATTTTACAGGCTCACAGCAATGAAACTGTGGGAAGTGTCAGATGGAAGATAGCAAAACTGCTGAATTCTCCTGTGGATAATATCCAGATATTTGCAAATGATAGTCTGGTATGTTAATTAACAAGTAATCTAATGAACTTGATTCTTGCTACCAAAACTAAGTGGTAAACGCTTTGTTGCAGCTCACAGTAAATAAAGATCAGAAGCTGCTCCACCAGCTGGGCTTCTCAGATGAGCACATGCTAACAGTAAAAACATCAGGAAGTGGAACCCCATCAGGGAGCTCTGCAGATTCCTCAGCCAGCTCCAGTAATAGCAGTGGTGTCTTCAGTTCATCATATGTAATGGAACAGGTACAGTACAATAAGATGAAACCTGCTGTGACAGGACACTTTCCATGAGCTAGTCTTTGCAAATGTGGTGAAGTTGTAGCTCATGCTTTACCCCCTTCACTTCCAAAGACTGCTTTCAAATTCTGCTACATATGAGAATTAAAAAGGGGGGTGTTTCTGGCTTCCATTTGTATATATTACAAAATCAGTCCAGAGTTACCAGACTGATTCCAGTCCAGACAACTTGGATTTGAATAGCATGGGTGCTAAAGATTAGGATGTTCTGTATTTTGACAGAAGCATAGATGAAAATGACTGTGGCATTGTCAGTCAGTGTTGTAATCCACTTGATTTGTAAAGAAAACCTTATGCAATGCCCATGTGCTTTGTGGGTACATGATCCTTTGCTTAAATGGGACTGGGGGGGAGGGAGGAGGAGTAGGGAGGGAAGGGAAGATTTAAAAAAAAAAAAAACAAACCTCTGGGATTGAGTAAATGCTTTTAAAGGAAGGTTTCTTTTATTACAAATTGAAATTAAAACAAGATACTTAAATCCAATCCAAACTAGATTTAAAATATGTGCATGTATTGAGTGCATTACTTGTGTACTTGAGTGTATAAATACCTACTTATTAGGTATTTATGGCAAGTGCAAAGTCTCAGACTCGAGCAAATGCAAGGCTCAGTCTTGTTTCATTATTTGATGACACGCAGGCAATTAAGTATAAAACCTCAGCAGTTTTTTCTGGAATTCTATGCCAATAAAACTCAAGTATGTGAAAGAAAACATCTGAGAATGGGGGAAGATTAGAACACCTCTCTCATTGTGCTCCAACTCAGAGTTAGCAGCTGGCCCAGAGAAGTCTCTTGTCTGAGGTAGATGTAAAAATCTATGGAAATAGGTGTATGAAACAGTAAATGATTAAATATTGGAATTCAAATAATGTCTTGGGCTAGAAAGTTGATGAGATTTCCCTGGGTCAAATTTTGTATTTGGGTCAGTTGCTTCAATGGGAAGTCCATAAACTAGCTTAGAGAGGTAGGGGGAATATCTTTATAATTGTGTTTCTGCTTAATCCTCAGGAGAAATCCCTTCCTGGAGTAGTAATGGCTCTCGTGTGTAATGTATTTGACATGCTATATCAGCTTGCCAACCTAGAGGAGCCAAGGTAAACAAGCTAAATGATTATTAAACATTAGAGAAATGCTGTTACTGCAGAGTCCAAATAGCTGCCTCTTTAAAAATAATTCCAAAAATATGCAGACTCCAGTCCACTCTGTGGCTCAGTGAATCCTATCTTATGTGGAATAAACTGCTCTTAACTTGCAGGATAACGTTGCGAGTACGAAAGCTTCTGCTGTTAATTCCTACTGACCCAGCTATTCAGGAAGCACTTGATCAACTAGATTCTCTGGGAAGAAAGGTATGGATTAAAATCATCCAGAGTTCTTGTTCATATAGGGTAAAGAATATTTTTTTTAAAACATCCAAATTGTAATACTCTGTCAGGATACTCTTATGCAAAGGTTCAGGCTATGTAAAACTTCAGTGATAGCAGTAAAAGGTTCTCAAGGATTGAATTATTTATTTCTAGCTGTTTTCCAAATGGGGCTGTTCCTGGGTTTTCAGAAGATGATGTTCAAAGGCCTACTTTTGGTGAAATACACTGTTCTAAAAGTGCTGCTTTTTCTGTGCCTTTCCTCTTTTAGAAAACACTGCTGTCAGAATCAAGTTCTCAATCTTCAAAATCCCCCTCTTTGTCTTCAAAACACCAACACCAGCCCAGTGCTAGCTCAATATTGGAAAGTCTCTTCAGATCTTTCGCTCCAGGCATGTCCACCTTTAGAGTGCTCTACAACTTGGAGGTAAGAAAATACTTGGTGTGCCTCAGTTTTCTAGCACTTAAACCATTTGAATCCTAAAAAGATATGTTCAGTTACTAAGAACCAACTACCCTACACTGAGTTCATTATATAAATCAAGAACCTAGCAAGACTATATGGTGACAAAAGGTCCATAAGCGTAGAGCTTGAAGTTTGCTTTAAGGTTGCTGTAAGATTTCCTTAGAAATCTAGGCCTCTATCACTGCAGTTGTAAAACAAATGCATGCTTTTTTGTTAGTATTTTTCTGCCCATGTAATGGAAGTTCTTTAGCCATTTATTTGAATCTTTCACTGGATCTTCAGAGGTACTGGATACTTGCAGCTCTTTTTAAAAGTGAATAGTTCTTAACATCTTTGAAAATCAGGCTGTGTTCAGTTTGATACTTTAATTGGATTATTTTTACCAAAATGAGGAACCTTGACAATTTGGAAGCTAGGAAAAATGCTAGCAAAAATTGTGGCAGTGTCCCTGTGAGAAGAATTCTGACAAAAACCCAACTAGGAGGACCAAGAGAAACCTTTTTTTTTTTCTTTTTTGAGACAGACAGACAGTGGGTTTTACTGCAGTTCTAAAGACACCCAGGGTTAGTGCCATAATGGACACAGGCTCAGTTGCAGGAAACTAGTTGTAAATATTCCATTCGCTTTGCAATGACTAAAAGCCTGTGGTAGATTATTGATTTCTAAATGTATTCCTGAGAGCCATGTACATCCCAGAACTCTAAAAGATTTAAACAGATTCAAACCCCACAAGTGCACTTTTTTCCAGAGTTTCATGTGTGTGCATTAAATAAAAAGAGAATGCCAAAGAATTCAGCCAATGGGTCATTGCTAAGGGACCTGTGTCTTCCCTCTCTCTACCTGCACTGGAACACTAAGTAATTTTAGGTGCTTTTATGGGATAACAGTTGTCAGCAGTGAGTCATACTGGTACAGTTAGGGCATTTCTTTACACCATTACAGATGTCTAGATCAGTAATTACAAGTTGGGAGGTCCATTGTCAATGATAAGTGAAATTCTTAGTACAGTTAGGGGCACAAGTATCCTCTGTCACACACCTCCCTCTCCACCCTTCCCCTTTTTGAACAAAGACCGATGCTCTTATTGCTGGTGTCTGGGAAAACTTCTCTAGGAATCTTCTAATTATTATATGCCTCCTTCGGTAGTTCTCCATTTTTTTCCTGTATTATTCCTGTATGCTACAACCAGGTTGCATTTTCACCCTCTTCTAGCAGTGATGAATGGTTGGGTGATTGTGACCCATCCAGGAACTTGTTCGTGATTCCCATATTCGGAAGGTGCAGTGTAGGAGGTCATCCTGTTGGATGCTCAGATTCCATTTTACAGTGTGATGAACATCTAATTGATCCATATATATGAACAATAAGAAGAACAAACATATATATGAACAATAATAAGAAGAATTTGCCCTGTACTATATAGCAGCCATTTGCCATGGGTGGGAAACTTTTTCAGATAATATCTTTTCTGCTTCCTTTACTATTTTAAAATATTTCATGCCTCTCTTACTAGTAAAAGCTTTGAAAGAATGTAACTTGAATAGCTGCACAGTCTCCTCTCTCAGAGGGAACAGGCAGTACTGACTGTGAGGTGAGTCTCTAGTGTGTCTAAAGTGCCAGGTACATAATTTTTGTCTACATGGGTTATAGAATATTTATACTTTTTGCATTTTTCAGGTTCTGAGCTCCAAGCTGATGCCAACTGCAGATGATGAAATGGCAAGAAACTGTGCCAAATCTTTCTGTGAAAACTTCCTCAGGGCAGGAGGATTAAGGTTAGACCTTGTAAATGCCTAACTTTTTTCCCCTGTGACACCTTTTCTGGTCTGTGCTAATGTATAATTTTGAAGTAGACTTTATCATATTATATGCAGTGTAAGATGCTTACAAAGCATTTTATTCAACTATATCCAATCCATTTTTGTCTTTCTATGTAAGAGCTATGTGCAGATTTACTTTCACCAGTAATAACTGAACAGCTTTTCTATTTACAGTGCAATGTGCATGGCTTTGCACTCTGATTCAGTGATGCATTCTTAGCAGAATTAGTTTTCTGTTTTCAGGGCTCCTAATGCTGTAGCTGGTGCTTGGGTGCTAAATAATTGGCCTCATTTCAGTTTAGAATGATGTTGACATTTCACAACTACCTCAGGAGCTGGCCTTTTTACTGGTTTTAGCAGAGGCTGGAATCAGGCACTGAAACTAAATTTTACCCCCTAGAAGTGGGGAGCTGAGGCACAGTTGGAAACAGCATAGGATTATCATTTCCGAAGGTGTGAGTCTGGTAACTGAGGATCTTTACAGTCTGGCGGTAACTGATGATCTGGTGACAGAGGGGGAGGAAAAAAAAATACTTGCTAAAATACTGTATTAAACAAAGCCTTTTGTTTTTATTTTTCAAGCTTGGTTGTAAATGTGATGCAGAGAGACTCCATACCCTCAGAAGTGGACTATGAAACAAGACAGGGAGTCTATTCCATCTGTCTACAACTTGCCAGGTACGGGATTGCTTTTCATTGTGTTATAATTGTACTTATTCTTTTTATTTACATTTGTAGTCATTAGCCTAATGTCACCAAATGTAACCAGTCCTTTGAGCACTGCAATGAAGCTGATCACCAATTGTTGTTCAAAAATAGGCCCGACTTCTTTTGTGTTCAGGTTCTTGCTTGTTGGCCAAACAATGCCTACCTTACTAGATGATGATTTCCTTAAGGATGGAGTAGAAGCTCTGTCCTCGCGTCCCTTCCGTAACGTGAGCCGGCAGGCTAGCAGACAGATGTCCATTTGTGGAACGCCCGAGAAGTCATCCTACCGACAGCTGTCAGTATCTGACAGATCCTCCATTCGGGTGGAAGAGATCATACCTGCTGCCCGAGTTGCAATCCAAGTAAGCACAAGTTTTGCTAAAGTACAGTACTCTCCAGTAAAAGGTGAAGGTTAAACTTGTTTGATGGAGAACTGCAGAAATTAGCATTTAAAAGTCTTGGAGAAAATCCAGGTCTTTACCCCAAAGCTCACCCTACTTTTTTTTAATTAGTCTCTCTAAAAGATCCATAATATATTGAAATAGTAAACCAATGGCGTGACTAATCACTGCTTTGTCAGGGTTGTTGGAAGACACCCAGACATAATATAGTGTTTCTGTTAATTCTCTTTTACATATGATCTGTTTTCTGTCACACTGTACAGTCTGTAAAATCAGAGGGGAAACAGTGAAGTATTGGATTGAATTATACACCCAGAAACCAGAATTTAGAAGGTGACCAGGTTCCCGTTTGTCAGTGTGGCTAAACACTGTGCTGACTTGATTAAAATCTCCCCAGAGTTTCTAATTACCAATATTTCTTTTAACTGTAACTTTATAAGAATAAAACTTCATCATTAGCCTGGGTGGGCATGTTGTGGTGGGGCAAGGGGACAAATGTGTACCTAACTCCAGTAGAGAGAAGGGGGTTCATCGTTTACCCAGCGTGCCTGGAGAAGGATGTTCACAAGCGCACCCCATCTGGTTCTGCCAGTCTGCAGCCAGTACTGCATCAAACCCAAAATGTGATGGTGAAGCTGGTCTAGGGGCAGCCTCCATATCTGCTCTTAAGACAGCCTGAGAACAACTAATGGCATACCTGTTGACATACCTGTGTTCCTAAACACTAAGAATCAGCATTTCTTAAGGCCTAGTCTGGGAGTGGCTCTGTGGTATAGCACACTGGTATAAAGAAATAATTTGACCCCTTTTTCTACTGTCTAATCTAAAAAAACTATAAACTGTTTTAGTAGTAGTACCATATGTTTAATGTAGAGATCTCACGTTGGTGCTTCCTTACCCAGCTGGTATGATTTGAGGTTAGTCTGCTTAGCTCCAGATGCGAGAAAGGGAGTCAAAGCTGATGACTTTCATGGGAGGCATGCTAAATTCCTCTTAAAAAAAGTCATTGCATCATTGGACCAGTTAATGGGAGAGACATGGAAATGATTGGGAATTCATTGTGGCTCTGAAGATTGCCCTTCCTCCTAATTAATGGATGCTATTTATGAGGCAAAGGTAACCACTCCTTCCTGTTTCTTCAGACTATGGAGGTTAATGATTTCACATCTACGGTGGCTTGTTTCATGAGACTTTCTTGGGCTGCTGCTGCAGGACGGCTTGACCTAGTGGGGAGCAGTCAACCAATAAAAGAAAGCAACACTTTATTTCCTGCTGGGATTCGAAACAGGCTCAGCAGCTCAGGTAAGGGAATCATCCTTACCAAACTGAATCATCCAATGCAAACAAAAAGCAATCCCCTTCAGTAGTGTGACACTTAAGTTATTCACAGTTGAGCTAACTTAAAATTGATACTTAAATCTTGTGCTGTGTTTAAAATGCACTTAAATACTGAAATATTTTTTTAAGAGGCAAAATGTTGGTCAGAGTCTGAAAATAATTGATTTTTAGCATTTGTTTCTCACCTGTTGCAGGAAGCAATTGCAGTTCAGGAAGCGAAGGAGAGCCAACAGCCCTCCATGCTGGAATCTGTGTGAGACAGCAGTCTGTATCCACCAAAGATGCTCTGATTGCTGGAGAGGCCTTGTCTCTGTTAGTTACGTGCTTACAGCTACGCAGCCAGCAGTTAGGTATGGAGTAGACTCTGATTAAGCAGTACTTAATTAGATTTTGTATTGTGCATGGTGATGTTATACATTTATCAGAATAATCAGGATACAACAGAAGTCTTAAATTGTGATTTCACTTGAGGTCTGATGAGTTTGGGATGATAAATCACATGCTTGCATATAGCTGAGAGTTACTTTTGATGAGAGCAGATGACTCCTAAACATTTGAGATTAATTCTACCCTCCTGGTAAACTGCCATGAACCAGCTGCTGGTGTAGATATGCTGCTCTTGTTAAGTGCACAAACTATCATAGCAACTATATATGGCAGATGAATGGTTTTTTGCCACTTCCTCACCCTTGTCCAAAAAATTAACTGATTCAGCAAGCTGATTGATTTTATAAGACTGCCTATGTGCTTAGGCTTTCATTCAACAAATACCAAGGTTTTACGCCACAGCTTGACCACGGGCTTACCAGGCTGGGCAGTGGCTTTCTCGGGCTATGCTAACCTTCCTCCTGAAGCAATGTACTGCCTCTGTTTGGTACAGCTAGATTAACTAACACTCCTGAGTGCCATTTAACCCATTGAGTGGCAAGGATTTCTTAGAATGCTTTTGTTAGGCCAACTGCAGAGTTGGGATAGAGTTAGACAAGCTTTCAAATGCAAGACATTCTACAGGTCTGAAATCTTTACCCCTCAAATAATTCCTGGACCATCACAGATATGACATCACTATCGCATTTAACCCATGAGACGGGGACACCTAAAATGCTTCTAGTTGTGGGGGAAAGGATATACTGAGACACAGCATGCAGTATGACTGGGGGCAGCACTGGCAGGCATGTTAAGGTTGTGATGGATAGAGCTTTAATGAGCTCAGTATTTAAATGATTACAACTTCACTTTGAAGCATATGCTTCTGGTTTTACTAGTTGTTTAGCAAAAACTTCAACTAGATAGAGCTTAGTTTAGTAAATGATTTCTCAAGACCTTGGCTTTCACATAGCAAAATATTTGAAACCTTAGGGAGAAAGAGGAAATTGGTCTTTTGATGTTTACAATGCATGGTCTTTGCCAGCAGGAGAAAAGTCAGGGCCTATGCCAGTTCCTGTGCACCTCTCATTCCTGTTGTTGGTAGTTTGGGGTATTTTTTTCCCATTAGAACTTAAATATAAATTGTACAATTAATTGACTCCTTTTAATAAGTCCTGGCAAAGAAACAAACAAAACCCTAACTAGAATTGTTTCATCTCAGGATCTTTCTACAACTTGCCTTGTGTTGCTGATTTCATCATTGACATTCTCCTTGGATCACCAAGTGCTGAGGTAAGTGGCTATTATTAAAATGCATTCACTTGTTAGGGGTCCCAGTGCAATACATCTTGGTTAAGTAACTGGACTCAGGACAAAAATATTTGCTATCAACATTTTTAACCATTTTTGTGTCTGAATTCATGTTATGTATATTACTCAATTAGACATCACTGATTTCTGTATTAAGCCCGTGTCATTTAATTATTTTGTTAAAGTATTATACTACTAAAAGTAATCTTGATTTGTTTGCTTCATTTGCATGCCAAATGTTAATTGAAAGTAGGACTGTGCTGACAAGTTTGAATAAAGTAAACCACTTATGCAAGGTAGGAAAGCTAACACTCATTCTTCCAGTCAGGACTGCAAATGTCACAAGTGGCTGTTCTTCTGCAATTTGCAGCTCCGAAAGGCTTGGATAAGCACAAACTCTTAGGTGCTAATCCAGGCCTCTGAAACATAACAAAATGCAAATAATCTCATAAAATTAATTTGTTCTTCTGAGATCAAGCACTCGAGTCTGGATATTCCAGAAGTCAAGGTTGCCCTGGCCATACTCATTTATGTTGCACGTGCTGTGTATGTTGTATGTGGGTCTTGCTTTCCTTTTTTCCATGTCTAAGATTGCAATTCACATTACTTCTTGTTAACATACCAAAAAATATAGAATTATCTAGCCCAAGTAAACATTTCAAGAGTCATCCTTAAGCTTTTGGGATTTCTTGTCATTTGTATGCCTGATCTTACAATCTTAATATTGTATTAACTCTCTTCATTAGTATTAAATCTCCTAGGTTAATCTTGGGGGAGGGGGGCACTGATTTTTTATATATATATATATATATATATAATTGTGTCACCTACCACAAACAGCTATCTCTGAGGGGGAGTTTAAGTAAGCAGTTACTCTAGTTGGGATTTGGCCAGCACCCTTCTTATGAAAGGCATCAAGACTGCAAGTGGTTGGACTTTTGTTTTTGTCTGTTTCCCAACAAAAGAAGGCATCTAACATAGTCTTGTGGGAATTTAGAAGGAGAACTGGCTCACCCAGACCTTGGAGGGAAGAATGCCATCTATCAAATTTCCAGCGTTTGCTTCTGTAGCCCTAGTTCTGTAGTGACTCGGAGACAATGCTGCTTAGCTGGAAATGTGACAGGAGTATATGTGGCATGGTGTATTTTGTAGCCATTTCTCTAGCTGGATCAGCTGGGCTGACTAAACCTAAGAATCTAAGACAGATCTCTACTGCTTAAGCCAAATGGACAACTCAGGGGGCCATTAACCTCTGCAGATGGATAGGTGAATACCGAGGGAGACAAAAAGCCATGTTCTGTAGGTCCCAAAGTCAAAGCTTTCCAGTCTCTGATTTATATTGCAGACTTCTAAGCAAATTAACCAAATGTCCTTGAGTAACATGCACTGTACAGTATATGTGGTGATTATGCTGTTATTTCAGATTCGTCGGGTTGCCTGTGACCAGTTATACACCCTTAGTCAGACAGACACGTCAACTCATCCAGATGTACAGAAACCAAACCAGTTTCTTCTGAGCGTCATTCTCACTGCCCAGTTGCCTCTATGGTCACCAACCAGCATCATGAGAGGAATCAACCAGAGGCAAGTTAAATGCATGTTTTTTCAAGATGGTAAATTTTCATGTTTTCAGTGGTTTTCAGGCAAGTCTGAAAAAAATGTAAGCTGGCAGGAAACAGAACCAAATTCTGCATGGGGTGGACACCCCATTTCCTTACACATGCACATCAGTCTATTCTCCCACTCTTGTAGTAGGCAATAAACACTTCAAAATCCCATTCAGATCTGTCTGTCTTGGTAGCTGCAACTCTTCAGCAGTCCTATATGAAGAATATAGATGCTAATTTCTGCTCACAGCTGCCAAAGGTTTAAATCAGTAATCTTCAAGTCTTGTTGCATATGGTCATAGCAGACAGCAAACCGTGTTTGTTTCCAGTTTGAACATTGCTTAGCCCTTTTGGCTGCAAGACTGACTGCCTACATCCTTCCCATTATGTTTTAATTAAACTATTTCATTCACCTTTCTGAATGGATAAAGCCGTGATTCTTAACCAGGGTGCCAGGGCACCCAAGGGGGGTGCCTTAAGATCCTTTGAAGGGTGTCATGAAGTATGAGGAGAATAAGATAAGCACAAGCTCAGGCTGAGGCCCTAACTGGCTGTTTTCCCCACCCCCAGTTCCCAGCCCCTCTGCAGAGAGAGAAATACTGTAATAAGTTAGGTGTTTTTTTTAATGGAGTGCCACTCAATTCACAGGAGTTATGGAGGGGTGCCTTGAGTCCAAAATGATTGAGAATCGCTGGGTAAAGCATGCCGTTTAGTTAATGAGCTGAATTTGTTATGAATATTGAACTGCAATTTTTATATCCTATTTTTGTTGATATTACTTTAGTCCTTAATATACCATTGTCAGCAGAGGACAAAAAAGAGATGTCACTTTAAATTAAAAAATTGGCATCTAGGAAGAAATCTTTTTTGAAGCAACAGTATTTGTATGTGTAGCCATAAGTGTGTGTGTGTGTGTGTATGTGTAATGATATCTATCTATCTATCTATCTAGGTTGTATAATTACACACACATTTATAGCTATATAGTGTGCGTGTGTAATTGTGAGTGGACAGTGCATCTCTGTGCAAATGCTTTAAGGTCTGAAAAGGTAAATAAAAACAGTTATGTAAAAAAACTGTTGCCATTTGTAATGATTCATATTTGTTTTAGACTCTTGTCTCAGTGCACAGAATATTTTGATCTGCGGTGCCAGTTGCTGGACGATCTCACGTGTAAGTATGTTTCAGGTTGGAGTTGCATATTATTATATGTTTTGTGTGTAGCAACCATAAGTAGATTAGACACACAAATACAAGCCGAGAGCCCGCAGCCTGGGTAGAGCAGGCATAAGGCTTTTATACACAGGAAACTAGATATAATAAGGTAGGATATCAGTTTATAGTTCATAAGGTACTTCACACTAGCCCTCCATCTGGGTGCTCATAGGACACGTCTAAGCTGTGTCCTGCTGAGCTGGAGACGGTGCCTCCCTGAAAGCCTGCCCTTCTTGTTCTGCACATGCTGATTGCCGATGAAGTAGCACATAGCTAGTTTCTGATGCATGCCCGGCACCACTCTGTCTTGGCTGTGCTGTAGAGGGTGGCACTGGGCAGGTCCATACCCAAGCTACATGATGCTTTTTTCAGCATGTGATGTGAACAGAGGCAGGAACAAGTGCTCAAGGGAGTGTTTATGATTCTCAGGTGGTGTTTTCTCAGCAGTGTTCCCTAGGACTGTCTGACATGGTACAGACATGCGCTTACTGCAAAATAAGTGAGAGGTACTTGCTCTGTTTTCAAAGAAGAGCAAGCTGCGTCAGACAGACATTGTCAGTGTGCACCAAGATTGTCTGCGTGGCATATGAGGGCAGTTGACCATTGTGCTTTGTATTCACACTTCAGCTACTGTGCTCTAACTTCCCTGTGTAGATAAGCCCAGATTGAGGTTTTCAAGAGAGAGAAAAAGGGGGCAACTTAAGCTTTTATATTCTTCCTTTTTTAATCTATAGTGCCTGTAGCTTTGTTCCAAGTTCATTGTTTATATAGATTTAAATGACATTTTCCCCTTTCTTGCAAAATTCCCCTTATCTAATGCTGCATTGTACCTCACTATTGCCCCATTTCGTCATTCAGAGACTCTTAGGGTGTCAACTAACATGACATTTCTCCCAGAAGAAAGCTTTTTTTTTTTTTCTGAGATCCTAGTAGGAGTCCCTTTTCAGTAGCTGTGAAGTAAGTGAAAGGAAATGTGCTAGTAGTTTTTCCCTTGGGACAGTGCTGTGTAGGTCTCTAAGTTAATTGCATCTCATTCAAATTAAGTGCCAGTCATTCCAAGGATAAGCTCGTCTTGCTGTGCACTCTCCCTGGCAACCTGTTGGCAGAGCAGCAGCAGTGCAGCTTGTGCATGGTACGTGTGTTAAGGGCTCTGCCACTCCTCTTTTGTCCTGGGTTCTGACTCGGATCAGTTGGGGACCACTTCAACTGAGACACCTTTACGGCTTCGGTTTCTTGACTCGGCCCCCTCCTTCTCTAGCCTGTTTTTCAGATGTACTTAGTACATGTGGGTCTCAGTGCCTTCTGTTTAAATGCTGTGTGTTAATTTACATGTCTGATGTTCACACCACTGTTCGAAAATATCAAACATAACAATTTCAGTGTCCTGTCTTACCTTTCTTCTGTGCATGGCTGTGTAAACAGTCCAGTCAGACAGCTATATGCATCTTTCATTTGTTTTCCACGTGCCAAGATTTTCCTTTAAACCATTTTACAGTGAGTATCAGTAGACTCACAGTGAGCTACAGTTTCACAAGCCCTTTAATGAGCTGCTTAACTAAACCATCTGCTGTTTATATACCATAGCCAGTGTTGATGATGAAAGCCATGAAATTTATAGGATTGTTTGTTGGCCTTTTAAATTGTACATGTCCATAGAATTGATTTCCAC